AGGTTCTTGGGAAGCTGACGAAATATTCAAAGACTATAATTACAATGAAGCTTTTGCATTAAATTGTATTATTTTCTATGCAACCGAAAAAAAATTATTAAAAATAAATCTGCTTAACCGCATTAAAAAATAACCATAAGTTTATAAATATTCCTGAAGCAGAATTGGTTAATTTAAAATCAATAGGAGAACTAACTCATCCCAACATACATCTATTTCACATTTTGACCAGAGTAGAAGAAAATTTTGCTAAACATTGCCAACATAAAAATGTATTTGATCTCACTGTAGATGATGTTCTACATTTTCCAATTTCATTTTCTTGTAATGAACATAAAATTCAAGTAGTTTCTTTTATTTTAACTAATTATATAATTATGCGAATCCGACACTTTGCTGTACAAGACAGTCAAAAAGAAAAAAAAAATAGAAGCAGAGAGAAGAAGAAAATTGCTAAATTGGTCCCTACTTAAAATATGCTTCATAACTGTTCTATATTATTATTATTAACTGTTTATTTATTATTATTAAATTTTTTATAATATTCTTGCTTATTATATTTTATTGTTATTATTTATCGAATTGAATATGCTTATTATAATTATTACTTTTATTTTATTGTGCATTGCATTATTTAATAAAATGTATCACCAGTTTGTATTTTATTTTAATTTGCTATTGAAATGTTCTTTAGTTGGTGGATAATATAGTATTGATTAAAAAAAAAAATGAACCTAACAGATAAATATTAATTTGAATCATTTTTGTTCCAGGTTAAATGGATGCACAATAACAGTCAATACACTGTTGTGGTCTATTTATTTTATAAAAATAAAATAAAAACAAATTTTTTATTTCATAGGTATTCTTTGTATAATATTATTGGACTGAACAGAAATGCTTAAAAATTTGACACGAGGTTAATTATAAGTTAAACTTAATGATCAAACTACAAAAATTATTGTTATTATTAATTTTTTTGATGAGTATTAAAATCAAATTTTGACAAAAACGGTGTTCGGTGACAATTTATAGTATGACCGTATATTTTTAATCGAAAAATAACAAAAAAAAAAAAAAAAATTGGAAATAATGAAACTGTTATTTCAGTAAACTTCGCGTTCTTTCATACGTCATTCACATCGATTTAAATATTAATATCTGTATTGCGAAAATTACATAAAACCTAATACCTATTATATTAGAACCATTCATATTTTGTCGATGGTTTTTTTATAGATGCATCTATCGTGGTATATACATAGATGCCTGTTTTTGAATTTTTGAATATTTCGTCCGCAGACGTACGGATCGAATATTATTAATATGTATTTTGTCGAATTTATAATTTTTAATATCTCGTAAACGATTTGCAATACTGTATCGTGTCGTTGGACGAAAAATCACCGGCGGCCAGAGTTCGTAGGAATCCCATTATAAAAAAATCGAAAAGTCATACAAAATTTCCAAACACTTGTGAAATGTATTTTTTTCCTCTAAATAATTATTTACACGCAATTTTTACAAAAGTAAATTATTTATTAAAGTTTGTAAATGATTAATAATTAAGTGCAAAAAATAAAAAGTACTAGACCTAGCTCGAACTTGGAGGATGAATTTTCGAAATTAAAATATAATCATCAAAGGTAAAATATTTATATTACGACGATTATGTAAATTTTAAATTCTTTTTTAATTAGGTACAATTTCCCTTTCATATCCCAATGACGTCTAGTAATCAAAATATTAAATGTATGTTACTAATATTTTTTGGTAGAGAATACTTGTATTATAATATAATTACAATTGATTAATCAAAATTGAAAAATATGATTTTTGCAAAGAAAAAAATTAAATGAACGTTGTGTTTTCATAATATTATTATGACAATTATTGAAGTAAAAAATATATTTGGCAATAGTTTTTACTTTTTAATTTACTGTTTTCTTTTTTTAAACTACCAGTTTTCTTTTTCAATGGAGTAGCTAATTCCAGGGGAGACAATTCCGCTTTACCACGATCTAGATTCATAAATTCTCAATTATATCAATAGAATCATTAACGTTTCCCAGGTTTATAAAAATTCTTCTACGATTACAAAATATATTATTTTCAATAAAACACATATATATATATATACGACAGTAGTAGAGAAATGGGGATCCTGGTGCAGCCAGGTATTTTCACTTTTAAAAATTTGAGATCTCCTTTCATATTGTTTTCACATTGTTCTTTGGTTCACATATCTATATTAAAAAAATATTTAAAAAAACTTAATTTAATAGTATTTTAAAAATTAATTTATAATCTCAATTCGTATACGTCCATAAGTAAAAAGCTTAAATTCTTATATCAAAAAAAAAAGTTATATGTATTTATTATTTTTAAAGATGTAAAAAAACTATTTTCACATAAATATTGTGCTAGGAACAGTTCTCTTTGAAAGAAATAAATAATATAATATATTACACATCGCGCGTGCAATAAATAAACGTCACATACAAATCGATAATGATTAAATAGCTTAAACCACATATATCTAATATTTTTTTTATGTTATTAAAATATTATACACCTATAATATAACATTACAATTTGTATTGTTCATAAATGTATGCCTGTCTTTTGGAATTTAACCAAATTTCTATAATGTTAACAAAGATTGTATTTTGAAAGTATATATAAAATTTGAAGTCAATCGATTTAGTAGAATCCAAAATCCCTTAATAATCTTTTTAGACAAAATTTGATTACATATTTTGAAAGATCGTTTAAGGTTTAGTAAGAGTAGGTGAAAACAGAATTGAGTTACGATGATTTCTCGCTGAGATATTCAAACTCGAAAATTCCCAAAATTGGACTACCCAAAAATCTATTTTTAGTATGTAGTGTAAATAAGTTCAAAATAACATTGGTATTTGTTTCATATTTTTCTGATTATTATTGAATAAGTTAGAGCATTTAAAAAATGTCCTCTTCCTAAATATATATAATTAATAAAATCTATCATTATATCGAAATAATATTAAATTTATATAACTTAAAAAGACTAATTTCATTGTACTTTAATATCCTAGTGTTCTAGTTTAGTGGTCCATGTATATAAACCACACAAATTTGCAAAAAAAAATTCAGCCTCTGGCGTGATGTAATATTCGTAAGCTGAGAATGATGTATAATACCATATCTGTTATATGGTTGTGACGCTTGTACGTGTTGTGTTGTTGGACGATTTGATAATTTAGTAGCTTATCCGTGGTAATAATCACATATACATCTGGAATTCTAAATTAGTGCGATCACATGACAGATAAATAGATCAGAACATTAGGACAATAGTTAACCCAATCCAATAGTCTGTAAAATAATATAAGAAAAAAGAGGGAGAGAAAAAAATACAAATTCGGTGGCCGCTGTGTATGCGATTGGATCGGGATATTGAAATTTTTTTCTATATTTTTTTATTTTCCATTTTCTTTAAAAAAAAAAAAATTGAATCTTAGTAAAAAAAAAATATTTTCCATAATAATTGGAAAACTTTAAAATTAAATTAAATACAGCCACTTTTAATTATAAATTCATTAAATTGAGTGATTTAGAAACTGATCGGAAATATTTATATAAATATTTTAATATTGAGAAAACAAGAAAACAATCGTATATGGTGAAAAATTAAGTGTTATTTTAGATGATAAATTTAAATTATTTTTATCTGGTAGATTTTTTAATAATTTTTCTCATAGAGAAATTGAAACAATCAAAAAACACGCAAGGAGAAATCTTTTTAGTTTGTAAAGGTGTAAAGCAACTTAACAACAACAATATATTTTATTTTATTGAATTTGAATAAAGGGAACTAAACATATTTTGAATTTATTTTAAATTAAAAAAAAAGATTATTTAAATTATTATAATAAATGAAATTCATTGACAAGTAAGCAACATAAACTATGTGCCTTTAAGTTGGTTAGAAAAATATTGAAAATATACATGTAGTGATTTTAATATTGAATTTGCTAAATATATTGGATAAAACTGTAGTGTTATTTTGGATAATAAATATAAATTATGTTTACCTGATAGATTTTTAAATGAAATTTTAAATAATTAATATAAAATAGTCAATAAAACTTTTCTGATTTACGAAGGTTTTAAAATTCTCAAAAATGGAAAAAATATCATCTCTTTGAATTTGAATAAAGAAAAATATAGCGGTTTTTTCAAAATTTATTTTAAATTAAAAATATTATTTATAATAAATTTGAACAATAAAAATAAAAACAAATTTACAAAGTTAGAAAATCCTATATTTGGAGATAATTTATTTGTTGGTGTTTTAGGTTTAAGTATTTCCTTAAATTTAATAAACATTGAACTAGATTGTTTATTAAAATTTGGAGGTAACATAATGTAATTAAAATCTAGAAAATATACTATAGATCGGGGGTGGCCAACCTTTTTCTATATTGTGCCAAATAAAAACAAAAAATTGAGAATTTGCCATAAAAATGAATGCTTATTATTTACATTAGTATAATAATATATTTATTTCTTTATATATATTTACATTTTTTATATATATACTATTTTTATGAAAATTCTGACAAAAGTAATTTTTCTTAATGAGAATGTTGAATTTGTTAATCCATTATCTCTTCGTAATTTGGTTGAAGTTTAATTGAAGATACGAGCATTAAATTTTTTAAATGAGTATTTGTTAATGTGGTAATGTACTTATTTTTGATATTATTTTCGAGAAAAACTTTTTTCACAAATATATGTAGAGCCAAATCTACAAACCAATTTCAAAACTAAACTATGTAGTTCTGAAAAATCTTCCTTGGGTACACATTTCCAAAATTCTATTATCTCAGAGAACTCTTCATATTTACATTTTAAAACTGTTGAACTTTGAAGTTCAATAATTTCCAATTGCATGTTATTGTTATATTTTTGGAGATCGTGTGTCGGTATGATAAATGGATTAATAAATAACTCATTTAAATTTCTTCTTCTTTAAATCTACTGAATCTTTCTTGAAAACTTTTATATAGTGATGAAACATGATTTTTAAAACTCGTCAATGAAATATCTGTCGGTAGATAAATAGATTTTAATCGTACAAAGTGATCTAAATTTCCCATTCCTATATTACTTTCGAACAGACAAAGTCGAGACATAAAAGAATTTATAGTATCTACAAGGACTGGGAATATATTTCTTTCGTATTGGAGTCGTTCATTGAGAATATTCAAATGGCCGAGAATAGCAGTTAAATATGCGATGTCGTTTAACCAATTTATATCTCTCAGTAGTTCACATTCACCAGGCAATTCATTATTTATTTCTAAAAATTCTATAACTTCGTCTTTTAAATTCCAAAATCTTTCTAATGCTTTTCCTTTCGCAAGCCATCTTACTTCACAAAACAATAAAAGTTCACCAGATTCGTGAATGACGTCATTAAATAGAGTTCTGAATAATCGATGATTGAATGGCCAAGCTCTTATTTTGTTTATACATTGAGATACTGGTTTTAAAAAATGATCAAATTTTAAGATTTTGGCGCATAAGGCTTCTCGGCGTATAATACAGTGATAATTATTTAACTTTCTATTCAAAAATTCCGCCAATAGGTTTACAAAACCGATTTTTTTACTTGTCATACATGGAGCACCGTCTGTGCATACACTTTCAAGTTTTTATCAGATTAAATCGTCATTTTTTAATAGCAAAGTTTCAACACAACATTTTAGTTTATTAAATATATCTGTACCTTTTGTCGATGTTCCAAGTTCTTCTGTCACTTCAAATTTACAATTTACATTTCGAATAAATATACTTAATTGTGGATTGTTCGTAATATCACAGTTTTCATCAAGGGTAAGAGGAAAATATTTAGAATTGGTAGTATTACACGAAATTTGTTTTGAAATATCTGAAGAAATTTCGACAATTCTTCTCATAATTGTATTACGTGATAAAGTAGTGTCTTTTACGTACGCAGACATTTTTGAATCATTTGTACTTTTTGCAAAAATATCTAAACTTTTTTAATGATTTCGCCGAAAATGCGATTTCGTAAGAAGTTAACACCATTTCTTTTTTATCATTTGATTGTTTTGTAAAAATTGATTGCCGAGTTAACAATGAGTTTGTCTTCTTTTTAATATATTCTCCCCTATTTACAGATCCCTCGGGATATTTTTCAATAATATCACTGTGATTATTATAGTGCCGTTGAATATTGAACTTTTTTGCAACTGCAATTACATAGTTACGTACTAAACACGTCGGTTTAGATTTTTTTTTATGTAGAAGGTGATAAAGTTAATATCAAATCTAATGTTTTTTTTTTTTTAAGTTAGACGAAAAGTTAAACAAATATTTAGGTTTCGATTACGGAAAAGATAAATATTTTAAAATAATGAAAGATAGAATAGTTAGAGATTTTCCATTAAAATTTACAGTACCTAATCGCAAAAATGAGATAATACAAATCAATCAAGAATGTAATTTTATTATTGGTTGACATTTTTCTATTTTACTTTTTCTAGTCTATTCATATTGACTGATTAATTACTTATAATATTCATTTATAATGACATAAATTTATTATGGTTTAGTGAAGGATTCAGTTCTAAGAATCAATCCTTTAGTAACGTGTGCCTGAACAATACTGCTAGGTATTTACCTATATTATAATTTATTATCTGGTACCTACTTTTATATATTATGTATATCAAAATATCAAATTATGATGAAATAAAAGTTTAAAAGAGCTATAAGTAATATACAAATATAATTTTATAGTTAATTGTGTAAAACTATGTGAAAACTCAGAATTGAACATTGGCAATATTTTTATTAAACAATTATTTATTTAATTATTTGGTATAGAAATATTTTTTTTAACAGTAGCAATAGAATTTCAAAACTTAGATAGGCAATAAACAAACGTTGAAAAAGTTGAAACTAGATTGACTATAAAAATACAAAATTGAACGTTAACATTAAAATTAAAAATATGGGTTAAAAAATTAATTTATAGGTGTTGGGTAGGCAAACTTATTAAACTATTAACAGTACAATTACAGGAGTTGAATAGGCAACATTATATACAAATTTAGGAACCACTGGGCTCTCTTATCAAATATTGAAAGCCAAACATCCGTTTTTCAGACCTAGTTACTTTGATAAGTGATAATGTCACAAAAGTTTCGTAGTTGCCCTCACATATTCTAAATTTATAATACCTTCGCGAGATTAAATTTAATCTCGTCAGTAGAAAAACTGTTACACCTAGGACGTTTTTTATACTGATCGTTAAGGTCTGGTTCACATCGAAGTTCAGTTGGGACAATGATGTTTTCATCACCCAGTGTCTTCCACAACTATTGTCTTGATGCTTAGGTACAGCAGCCTCAAAACTCATTCCGTTGGTGTTTGAAAATCCCACAAGGACCATGACATTGTATCAGCCTATAAAAGGTAATTCAAACATTATAAATATTTAAAGGTTTTTATGTTTGAAACATTGAATTTGGTTACCTAATGTAACAAAACATTTACATAATTTACTGTTTAAAAATTTAAAACTTATTTTCCATTTTATAGTTTTATATTCATAAATAACTTTAACACTTATTTATTAAATTGTTATAGTAACTAATTTACGAACATAGGAGTGTTCTAAATTATTTATAAATTATATCAATAAATTCTTAATAGTATTTATTTTTGTTACCTAACTATGTACAAATGTAGTGTTAATTACTTTTTTGATAATGTTATTGCAGACTTAATAAAATTCAAATATTTGTTTATTTCATACAGGTTAGGTTTATGGTTATAAGGTTTTTAGGTATTATTTTAAAGTGTTACTTACATAATATTATATATTTTGGTTATTTATCTTATATCTATAGTTTTTTTGTTACAGAATCAATTCAGTTGGTTACAACACCAACAAATCATCCAAAATCAGTATTGATGAGCAGTAAAAATACAAACTGGGATGATTTTTTATTAAATATTCACTGTATGTCACAGTTAAGATTTATTATGTTTTTGGTGTCAATTTTTGTTTGTTTTGCTGTCGTTTTTACCACTTTATTTGTTATACCATGTGAATGGTCTAACTGTATTTCACCAAGAAAGGTCAAGTTAATCTGGTCTGATTCTATTTTCAATGACATAGGTACCTATCATTATTTTTCGATAATAACAATAATGATTATTTAATTGCATTTAAATCAATTGTTTATTATTTTTTATTTATATTTTAACAGAGTTAAAAGGAAAGCCCAGTATAATTGAATTGAACCAAAAACTTTTGCACCTGGTATTCATAGTAAGAGGATCAATTCTTAATAGTCCAAATGTACCACCTCGAACAGAACGATTTCCATCTATTGGTGGTGGTCTATTACAAATAGATACAATGACTGGTAAAGAAATGTGGCGTAAACGTTTGGATCCTTTACCGGACAAAATAGATTGTACATTACTCAATAATCAATTTAAAGAAAACAGTGAAGTGTATTGTATAGTGGGATCATCTAATGGAAATTTATTAGGTGTTGTTTCTAGCAGTAAAAACAAAGGTATTATTTGTATAAATTTAAATAATTTAAGAAATTTAACTATAAGATATTTAATTTACTGCCATAAGATGTTATAGTATTGACTTTTGGATTTCTATTTTTAAATAATATGTAATAATAATATTATTTTAAATTAGACTATCTGTCAAATAATTATGTTCACCAAGCCCAGTCTACTGCCTATTTCTTATACTTTTACCAAGACGGATTTTCAAACAGATTTCTCCACATATTTTCTTAATTAATATAATGTCCAATTCCTACCTAATTAGGGTTTAGAACCAAATATAACACATAACATCTGGTTTACCGATTTGGTGATGCTACTACCACTTTTAGAAATAAATGTATTACACTCCTGCTTTACTCTACATCTCTCAGGCATTTAACTAAGTGTGACATGACGATCTACTATTCAAACATCGAATATTTCTACCATTTAAATATTTCTTTTGAATTAAATTGCACCTTAAAAATCACCATTCCCAAAATAGATTTGGTTTTTTAATTTATAATATAGCCTTTAATTAATACTTGTTTTAAAAATATGAAATATTAACCTAATCCAACCTAGGTATCTTCTAATTAGGCGATGAATTAAAATTAGATATAACTCCCAACTGTATATGATCTGATGTTTTCAAAATAAAAGAGGTCAAAGTTCATTACCTATATAAATACAGTCTAAAAGACTGTACTCTTTATACTGTGACATTTATAAACAATTTAATTTTATGATAACTCAATTGTGGGGATTATTTTTAAATTGTGTTTCCTAATAATTTTTGGGGAAAAATGTTTATCAATCATTTTTTTATTTTGGTTGTGTCTGTTGATATTGTTGTAATTATTATTTTAATTGAAATATTTCAATACATGGCCAAAAACATTGTGTGTGTGGATTTTCATAAACATTTTTAATGAATGTGCTCCAGGATTAATTGAACACTTCAAGAAGATATTTTTTCACATATATAATTTGATACTAATGCCTCTGTCTATAAATTAAGATCTTCCAACTACTTTATCTAATGTACAAATGGGAAAAAATAGGAAAATTGGTACAATATTAAAAAAATATTATTAAAGAAAATATATAATGCATATTTAATTATTTTATTATAATATTGCATATATTGTTGACAAAGCAACACTACCAACTGAAATCTACTTAGAATTGTTTTTCATTAGAAATGGTTAATTGTTGCTTATATATATAAATTAAGTTCCCTTCCATATCCAACCTTCCCAATTTCTTACCAACAACAATGGTTACACTCATCATGTGAAGTATGTCAATCTTTTTTTTTTACTTGGAGTAGTTGAGTTATATGAGTTAGTTTATTTGTTATTAATTTTGGTTTTACTATTGTTTTTTTTTTTGTGAGCAGCTTTTCTTTATGTGTAGCATCTTTTTTAATAGGTGATTTTATCTAGTTGGTGTATTAGGTAAAGTGTACTCACTACTGCTTTCATTATTTAAATATGTATACACCATGTTTTCTACCAGAAATATTACTCCAGTGGAAAAATGACAAGAGATCAATATTGTTGTATTTTTAATTTACTTATGAATAAGAAAATCATTATCATTTTCCATTGTAACTTATGTCATTTGAAATTGGGTAAATTCATAAAAAAAAAAAGTTAATTTATGATGCCATTTGGCATCACATTGCCTCAAGAAGTTAATAAATGATAAGACAGTTAATTTTTATGATGATTTATGTTTTAATTTTTATGTATTTCTGGAATAAATATTAAATAATTTATTTTGTTAACTAGGTGAGTTGATTTGGAAACAAACCAAAGGTCGGACAGACTCTAGCAATACCAAACTGTACAAAAAAAATGATATAGTCTATATGGAATTTCCTGTAATCATACCAGATTGCAATTCAGATGGTATAAATGAAATGGCTTTAGTACAACATATAAATAATGTGCCAACATTGGTTATTGTATCTGGAAAAAGTGGAAAAGAAATGATTAGTAGTATTAATAATAACAATTGTACTAAAATGACTGATCTTATTTTAAATTATGATATGTCTTTAGTGTACTATTGCCATAAAAATTCTGGTGCAGGTGTGTAAAATTGTACATCATAGTTAGGAGATATGATACCTGCATATGCTGTCTCGAGCTTACAAATTCACATTTACATACAGTAGGATTAATATTTTAATTTAATTGTGAGTTCATTTATTATCAGACTTAAATGTAAGAACATTGAATTTTTGAGGGATGTTTTGGTTTTACTATGATGTATGTTTTTTTTCTGCATGAACAACTTTTCTACCAGCACCTTCTATGGCAACTTTTTGTAAAGTAATCAGGAAGGTAATTTATTGATTTTTCTAGGGGTTTTTGAAATAATTGGGAAAACCTCCCAAAAAATTAAGGTCCAATAGAAAAATATCGAGAAATTTTTTATGTTGAATTTTCATTAACTTCAGACTTAAAATGTTAACAGACAACTTATATTTACTTTTTCTAGACTTGGTAAAACTTTCAGAACATATAAACAATTTTTGGTGTAGGTATTGTGTAGATTAATTGTTAGACTTAACAGAATTGTTTAAAAATTTGATGCAAGGTTCATTATAAGTACATTGAGGTAAAAAAAAATTTAAACTATGTATAAACATGTATAACCAAACTTCCCTCTGGATTTGCTGTTATCAATGGTTTATCAATGGTTTTGATGGTGATGATTAGTACTTGAAAGTTGCTAAAAAAAAGGCAAAATATACATAACAAAATTGTAAAATATGCATGAAGAAATGTTAAATATGCAAAAGTTAGTATGTCAGTATATTAAATTTTGACTAGTATCTTTTTTTAAATTTTAATATTAGATATACTTATAATATCGAAAAAGCAAAATATGCATGTGTCTAATATTAAAATTTAAATCCAGCTTGAAAATTTAACTATCGAAGGTTAAGTTGCATAGGTAGGCTAATGTTGCATAGATAATGTTCTTTAAAGTTTGATAATAGGTCAATTTACTCTTAATATTAAAACTAACTTAGCCTTACTGAAATCAGATTTGCTTCTTTGTGTTTGTTGGATGAAGGACAGAATATGCAAATATCACATTCTCAGTTATTGAGAATAATTTATTCTTATCTATTTAGATCCTCTAAGGTTAGAAACAGTTCAAATTAAAACCATATTAAATTGCTCTGGGGATTGGATCCCTAATTCAGTCCACCAAACAAAACGTGAACATGACCAAAGTGAAGAAAATCAATATTCAATAACAGTTGGACATTATCGGCTTAATGTTATTAATAGTCATTATGATTGCCCAACCAAGTGTAAAGTTGTTTTGAATGTAACAAATAGTTCAGGTGAAACTGTTTGGTCAAAAAATATTGATCGGTCTTATGTAATGAAACCTGTAACTTTTGAACTGCGCAACAATATTTCTGGTTTTGTTATAAAAATTTGGTACTGGGATAATAAAACAAATATTGGGGTGAGTGATATAGTTAAAAAAAAATAATAATAATAATAATAATAGATAATAATAGATAATAATATAGATAATATAGATAATAATAGATAATTTAGATGAATATATTCATTTTAATAGATAATCTTTCTTAATTTCGTTATACTATGATACATTCACTTAATAAAATCAATATTTTCATAAACTGGATTCTCAAATACTGAAATCCAAACTTTTTTGTTAATTTGGTTTAAATGGCATAGTTTTAATTTTGTGTATTTTGAACATTTTATTTTCATTATTTAAATAATTACATTTTAAGTTTCAACAGTTACACTTTTTTTATGAGATAATTTTTTTTTTGTAAATTGAATATATGTTTGTTAAAAATAACAACAATCTAATTGATTTATTAACCATAAAAGATAAAATAAAAAAATAATAATTTTATATATTTCTTCTTCCCTCAGAACATAAATTAATTTCACATTATTAGTAATTTAATAGTTTTATTGATTTTATCTGCATTCAAAAAAAAAATCAGAAGGATATTTAGAATTTAAAATTATTTAGGAACTTAAATATGGCTAGAATAAGATTGAGCATAATTAATGTTGCCATTTGCCAACAATTCTGAATATTATATTATACACAAATACATACATTTGTTTGTAAACAAACAAATATTAATTTAAATTATTTTAATAATATAAAAGTGGTATGAGTTTAAAAAAATAACAGTAATTCATGGTCATTGCATTTGTTGATTTGTTGATAATAATAATAATAAACAATCAGGATAGCTGGTTATTGCCTATCAAAAAATTAAAACTAAAATTGTTACATTTTGTTGTCTATTTCCAATTTCTCATAAATATAATATTTAGTGTATGCTATACCCCTAATGCATGATTACTTGTAAGTTGTAAAAAAAGTCTTATACTTTTTACTTTGCCCTTCCCCCATTATAACCAGAATAATAGGAAAAACATATTGACTTATTCTTCAGAATATTTTGTCCTCTCTGAATTTTATAACAGGAGTATTTACTCTAAAACCAAAATTATCAGAGTAATTAATAGTAATTATTTAGTATTTTTACTGTTTGAATGTTGTTTTATAGCTTTTATAATAACATTTTTTTCTTAGATTTTTTTACATTTGTACCTAAACTTAATATTTTGGTGTGTAATAGTACATTACCAAATTTGTTTAATCGATTTTGTATCAAATAGTGGTGCAGAAATTGCTATCATACATTAAACATTAAAAATATAAATCGCTACAAATGAAACTCAAAAATGATTAATGTATATAACTTTTATTTTTTTCAGAATAATATTAAACTTTCTAAAATGGAAAAAATGTCAAACATTCATGAACAAGTATTAGTTATAATGTATAATTCATCCAGAACAGAAGATTTCCATGTTAAAAACATAAGTTCAAATGCAATGTTTCAAGTTTGTGAAAGCGAGTTTAACTGTCAGCCAAAATTAGAATATCAAAAATATTCATGTAAGTTCAGTTTTATAATTGTATATATTACTGTTTAACTGTATTATTCAATGTAACTTAGTTTGATGTACACATTTTTCTATTTTAATAGTATAACCAAATGTGTTATTTATTGAACCAAATAAAACTATCTTCTCAGAGTTGATCACATTGATCAGACCCCCTAGCTCCTCTTCCTAAGTAGGGCTCTGGTCATCTTAAAAAAGTTTAATATAGAGTCTGCAAGTTGAGTATGACTAATAAATAATTAATAAAATAATATGATTGTACAATGGAAATAACATTAGTGTTATCAATGACATACTTATATATACATGTATTTTTTTTTTCCAGTAAATGTGATGGACATCAACAATGATGGTTACAGAGACCTTGTTTCTGTGTTTGTGACGTTTAAGTTCATTAATTCTTTAGGCCAGCATTTTGTGAATGATACAGCATCATTACAACTAATGTCAAAAGTTAATGTTTATGAGCTGGAAGAACACCTTATCCAAGATTTTGAGAATGAAATATTTGTTTAATTTATTGTAACTGTGTTATTATACTGAATAATCTATAAGTTTATACAATAGTTTTTAAACTTTAAAATGTAAATTTTTAAGTTATTCACATAGGATATAAATCTTTTAAAATAGAAGTAGATACAGGAGAAACTATTAATTCAGACTAATTAAAATATTAATCTGAACTGATATTTTCTTATGATTTATTATAAATGACCTAAGAATATAATAAATAAATATAAGTAATATTAATACCTAGGTAATCATATTTGTCCAGTATAGCTATATAATATGTAACTATTATACCTACCTACTTAATTGGCAATATTTATAAATCTTATTTGATTGAATATTGCATTTATTTATTTTTTCCTTATAGATGTTACTATGTATAAGAAGATTAATATTGCATATTTTATGTTATTCTATTATTTATAAACTTCTTGAGAATTATAAAAAAAAATAACATCAGCATGTTTCACTGGTTTTTTTACTTAAATGTAATATTTAAAATGTAGGTAGAGGAACAAGGGGCAAAACCAACTGAAAAAATGAATACCTTCATAATTATTCAGGATCTTAAAATATATTTAATCTATTTGCACAGTTTTATTAAGTTACTTCTTGTTTATAATATTTAATTATAATACAGTGAATATCATACAAATGTATTTTTAATAAGCCATTAACTTGTATTAACATTATATGGTTATCTAATTGTAATGGGCAACGGGTACTAAAATAATGATGGATATAAATATAATGTCAAACTTTTTTTCAGAGGAACTTACTTAACCAAATACATATAACTATTATATTTAAGTATTGTAACTATAGTAATAAAGGTTTCATAAATTATCTATATATTATAAGACATGAATGTCTTAATTAAAATTCAATAAAACCAAAATAAAAACAAATTTTAACAACTCAGGTACTTTAATAAATCTTGATTATTTAATTTAATTGTTTTAAACTTAATAAATAATTATGTTATTAAATTAATATTGATCAGAATTAAAATCACTTTTTAACTAATAATAGACCTTCCTATCAGTTTGGTAATTTCAACAAGTATTTTTTAATCTTTAAATATTTTCAACTATAAATTACATAAAATTAAATTTCATGGTAATTCAAAAAAACAGTACCTATAAAATAATATTAAACATAATAATAAGGACCTTTCTTGATAATAAAAAAATAACAATAAGTACCTACTTCACTAATAGTCTTGATAATTTTAACATTTTTTTACATTTTAGATTCTCAGTAGAGCAAAGAATTTATTGGTTTTAGGGAGATTTTTTTTTTATGAAAATAGTTTTCTCACCAGAAAGGTTACTGTAATATATGTAGTTTTTACTACTTGTATTATATGGTTCAGTATAGTATATACACTCTTCTGTGGCATCTTAGTTGTTTGATATATTTCTATTTTCGTTTATTACCTTAGACAAACTTGAATTATACATTTTTTTATTCTGTGACTTTATTAGTATACGTAATACTAAGTCAAAAAAACAATCGATTTTACCTCAAAGCATAATTTTTATGAAATTGTTTACTTATAAAATATTATTAGATAAAAATAGATTAGTTATTCGAAACAAGCTGTAGATTCATACTAGACGTGTACATAGGCGTGCTGGCAGGGATGCATAATATATTTGTATATACAGTAGAATCCGCTTATTCGGGACACCGCATAAAGAGGACAACCACTTAATGGGGACAAATTGGCATAGTCCCGAACGAATATATTCGTTTAAGGCAATTCAACTTCGTTTATTGGGGACAAACCATCGGTTATAAGGGAAAAAATAAAAGCGTCTACTAGGTATTCTGACCTAAATTATCTACTTTCTTATCGAAACTGTAATTATCTAATCTTTATGACTCTATTATATTTTTATATACGTCCTTATATGTACAAATGTAATGTACGTTTATCTTCTACTACCACGATAAGAGTCAACTAGCCTACGTACAAAATCGAAAACCTTTAGTTCACGTTCTTTTGTCTCTGTGTGTTAACGTATGTTTGTTTATTAAAGTTTTTATTGATCCCAGTTTGTGTTAATGCGTAACAATTATGTCTCGTAAAGATTTGTCGTTGGTTGAAAAAATTTCCATTTTGGACAAAATTAAGTCTCAACCTCATAGTCTTCGTGAGTTAGAGAAATTAATAGGCACGTCTAAATCGGTACTAAGCCGATTGAAAAATAATGAAAAAGCTATTCGTGAACAATGGGAAAAATTAAACGACAGCAATAGTGCACCTGTAAATAGAAAAAAAAGCGGGAAGGCAAAGATCCCGAAGTAGACAAAGCTATGAACGAATGGTTTTCTGCTGTTACAGAACGTGGTGTTCGTATTTCGGGCCCCATGTTACAGCAGAAAGCTGAATTTTTTGCTGAAAAAATTGGACATGGTAATTTTAAGGCCACAGAAGGTTGGATGAGTCGTTGGAAGGATCGGAATAATATTAAATTCAAGCGATTTCACGGAGAAAAATCAAGTGCTGATTCAAACGGAGCTGATGAATGGTCTTTAACTAAATTACCGGAAATTCTTAAAAAATTTTCCCCTCAGGACATTTATAATGCCGACGAAACTGGTTTATTCTACCGAGCGACTCCGGATGGTTCTTTGTGCTATAAACGTGAAACACTCGAAGGATCAAAAAAAGCTATGGATCGTATAACAGTTTTGTGTTGTTGTAATATGGCGGGCACAGATAAAAAAAAGTTGTTGATAATCGGAAAGTCCGCAAAGCCAAGATGCCAACAACTTCACTAGATATTTGTGCAGATTTTATCAATAAGCAAAGTCTTAATAAATAACAGCAAAGAAGAATGGACGATTTTCTGCAGCCTAACAAAATATGAATTATAATTGAAATTGAATAGTAATATGTAATTTTTAAATAAAGTATGAATCAAGTATGTATATATTTTTTAAATAAAGTTTTTTAGTTTTTTTAAAGTTGTTTTTTTTCATCAGTTCGGCTAATCGGGACAGTCGGATAATGGGGACAAATAGGTTACCGCCCGATGTGTCCCAATTAAGCGGATTCTACTGTATTTATTTTAAATATTATATTATAAGTATATAAGGTATATTCTTCATAGTCAGCTTACGGCCCATTAAGGGTCGCTGCCTGCCACACGCCTCTTCGTCGTTCCCTGTCTGATGTATCTTCCACTCCTATCGAGTCATCAAGGGTTTGAAATCCTTCAGTACTTACTGTAAATATATAAAGTATATTATAATATAATAAGTCATATTACTAGTTAATCTACTTATGAACATATGNAATATATATATATATATATATATATATATATACATTATATGTAATAAAATTGAATATTATTTTGGTAATTATTTATTATTAGGGTTAGGATTTTAAGGTAAAATAATCAGTAAAAAAGGACGGACGCACTTCACACGTGGGTACGGTACAGTCACTGTTGTAGGTTGGAAGTTGGGAAAGTAGGATACAGACAGCCTAGACAGAAATTTAATGTATATTTTTAAGAAACTATAAACCATTACTAACGAAAAAACGATTCTAAGCGGAGTTCAGTTGATAGTGATATTTTGTCAACAATATACCTATGTCATATTATGGTAAAATTATTAAATAGGCATTATACATTTGCTTTAATAATATTTGCTATTAAAGCAAATTATTTGTTTAATATTGTACCTATTTTCCTGTTCTTCCATTATTCCTTATTTATATTTATATTTTTTTCCAGTTCTTCTAGTACAGCGTTCCCCAAACTTTTTTTCCGTCGGACCCCTTAGAGATAGTAAAAATGATCGCGGACCCCTCCCCCCTTATACCCTTTTATGCCTCAGTATTTACGTNTATATAGTATTTTCAATTTACGCTCGTGGACCCCCTCCGGCATATATGCGGACCTCTAGGGGTCCGCGGACCACAGTTTGGGAAACGCTGTTCTAGTATATTGAGAAAATTCTTGAGAAAATCAAAAAATTACCTTTAAAATTAATTTAAAGTACCATCCCAGTCAGATAAACTTTCAGAAAAAAATGTTACACTTGTAAATTAAAGCAATATTTTTGGTAAAAAAGTATTTGCCAGATAGAGAAAAAAAAAAAATAATAAACATCATTGTAAAACCATAAGCTTCTTCGCTCCACTCAGAATCTACAAATCACTCTGTAATTATATACATATATCAGGCTATGTAACCTTAACACATAGAGTTCAATGGATGTATACATAAATAAATCATAAATAAAACAACTAAATAGCTGAATACCGTGATAATTGCCCAGAAGACAGAAATATATACAAACCAATAGTTTTAGAACACTGTAGTAAAAAAAAAAATGTTCTCGAAAAAATGATGTATAGGTATTTCAGCATAATTGTTTGACATAAAATACTTTGTAAATAGTTATTTGAAGAAGAGAAAGTTCCCGAATTCTCCGTTGCCCAATCCACCTCTGCAAAATCAAATACATGTACCAGCCACTTTTCTAACTCATTAATTGCAATATTAAATTCTTTTGCGAAAGCCCAATCTTTGAATTTTATGGCATCAAGCTTGGCCCAAAATGAAATGGCGTCCCCATATTTGTGCTGTCGGAAAGATAGCTGTATTAATTGCTTGGGACATTGATAACTCAAAGTCCAATACAAATTTACTTTGGTTTGTTCCAACTTAATGCTTTTTTTTTTTAATGTTTCATTTTGAATAATTTAAACTTTAAAAAATATAAAAATGATTCTGCATAATAATTATTATTTTTGTTCGTGTAGGAATTTATGTATGGGTATATTTTTTTTTCGTGTTGGAACTAGCATACGAATCTACTTATTCGCTATAATTCGTATGAGAACTTACCGAACTCCAATATTAGACAATGCTTTTCAAGTCCATGATTTGATTCATGTAATAGAGAAAACCTTCAAAGGTGAAACTGTTATTTTGCCTATTTCAATGTTTTTAGAATTATTTTGTAGAAATAATAGAGGTGTCAGAATTAAAAAATGAAGACTGTTGTAAAGTAGTTGATAATATTGTGTCCAGTTTGAGTCTAAATTTTCCAATACTAAAGGCTTTCTTCCGTGTTCGCTCACTGATACCTTATAAATCTAAATAAAATATTGCTGAAACAACATCTACTAAAAATAAGAAACAGCTTATGGAATTGGTGAAAAAGAAGAAATTTAATTCTAAAAAGAGCGTGAACGAAAACTAGGGAGATAATAGTATTTATGTCAATAATGCTCTTACTAATTTTAATAGAAATCTTTTTTTAAGACTACAATATTTGTCATAGAAAAACAGTTTAAATTTGTATGGTTCAGAGATTTAAAATAATAAAAAAAAAAAAAATGAAAATTCCAAAATATTCAATATGATCATAATGAATTATGTTATATTATTGTTGAATTATTATATTAGTCTCTGTACACTTAATTTAATGAACATTTATTCTTTTTTATCTTTTTTTCGATGTATGATATAAATATACATTTATTAAATAGTATTTTCGACATTAAAACAGAGTACTTTTTTTATCAGTATCAGAGTTCTATATAATATGTAATTTAGTTAATAACTTATCTGTTAAAATATTTTGTAGTAATATAAAAGAGTGTTAATGCTAATTTTGATAAGTTTATTTTAATTTTAGAAAGTAATATACACGGTAGGGAAAAATGCTTAGATGTAATTGTACTTATAGAAAGTTGGCATAATATTAATTTTTGTAATTTTTTAATTTCTAGTTATGAAATGTTCGGCTCCAAAGAAACCAAAACGACGGTATTATTATTTTTGTTAAAGAACACCTAAATGTCAATTTTTTAAAATTTTCATATAGAATTTATATCCGGTATATATATTAGGGTGTCCCAAAAAAATACAAGTTTTTTTATTTCAACGCATACCCTCTGATTTTGTTTGGATGATGTCAAAACAATTTTAAATACAATTTCATGTACTTAGAACCACGGTAACCTGTGACGACTTGGATCTAAACATGTCACTACTATATGTTACCTCCCGTTGTTGTGCTCATTATTTCTTGTTCGTTTTATCAGTATACTGTAGAAATATCATAAACTGTATCTATTATTATTATTTAATATACTGTTTAACTATAAATATATCTATTTATAATTTTTGATTGTTCGTCGCCGTCCATCGATAACAGCTAAACGTCTTACTTTTATAAAATAATATAATATAGGTATCAGTGTATTGTGTGCTGTGTGCCGTTTCGTGTGCGATCTATTTGTATTGTTTTCATTCGGTCAACATGTCTGTAGAATTACACAGTCCTAAAAAGGGAGTATTTTTTATAGGCTACGTAAAACATCAAATTAACGGTTCAAAACGACCCTCTAATGGAAGAGTACTGGTAGTTCTGTTCTATAATATTCGTGAAGTAAATTTAAGTGTCAATCAAAGCGCAAATCTTACTATTCGTGAGTGCATTATTAATTGGGAAAAGGCACGTATACCAACTAGATCTTCACGTAACTATTGAATAAATATTAAGTTATAAAATCCCTATAAGTCTACCATACTAATAACTTGTATATTAAACTTTGATATCAAGTCAGCACGGGTAAACATAATCCGATATCAAAAATTCTTATTATTTAAGTTATGAGGGTCAAATGGTAAAAAAATTAAGGGTATGCGTGTCTCAATTCCAAAAAAAAAATGTCGGCCCTTATAGCATGGGACACCCTAATATATACACATTTTTTTTTCAAAAAATCCATATGGTTTTTAATTAGGGAAATGAACAATTAACGCTCAGGTTTAAACAGATATATACATTAGGGAAAATATTCAT